CTAAGATGTATATAATTTAACAATTATTGCAAAAATAACACTATCAATTACTAAGATGTATATAATTTAATTTTTTTTTTTTTTAAAGGTTATTAGAACATGTACTAGTGATTTGCACATGTTCGTAACAAACAATAATATTTTGATTTTAAGTTTAGAGTTCGGACCAAGGTATTGAGTCTTGCGCCGGTGTGAACTCTGGCCTCGCTACAAGGCCGAGCCATGATAAGTGAAGTGGTGGTAGTGGCACTAGTCCAAGAGCTTTCATGTGAAACATACCTCCAACCTCCTTATCTCTGCAAACTCAACATATCAAAAGATCAAACGAATCCTGCAATGAATCGGGGAAATACACAGCTTACGAAAATCGATTGTTTTGCTCCATTGACTTCTTATGAGACGAAAAGAATGCACTTTAAAAGAAATTATTAGAACAGTAAAATGGTATTGTTGAAGCTAACTTTACCTATGAAATATCATCTGAGGGATTCACGAGCCGCGTTGTACTTGCTTGTTCGTAAAGAGAGAAAGAGCAGAGAAACTCCATCCTCTTTTAACATTTTTACTGAATGCTTTCGTCCCAAATGGCTTCCCGATCCAATCCGAGTGCTTAAAACACTCCAGAAAGGTTCTGAAGCACATAGTCATTGTATACTTATAACTGGTTTCACTACATCATGCTCAGTTTACCAATAATCGGCGCACGAACACTTTCCGTTAATGAAGTGATGGAATCTACTACCATCTCTTAACGTGATCTCTCGGTTCTTGATCAACGATATATACTTGAAAGCAACATGGCAATCGCTGCAAACCCGCAAGTTCTTGATTATTCTAATGGGTATACCTTCAGGTGTTATCATGAGCGCAAATGCAACTGCTAGTTTCTCGCTGTGGTGTCCCAAGTCTGATTCTTTGTCCTCATCGTCCATATCATGCAACACTGAATCTGTATCAGGCTTGTATCCCTTCAACTTCATCTCCAGAGTCAGCTCTTTCAGGTACGAATAGATCTCCTTTGATTTAGATTGAGAACGATCTCCCATCATAAACGAATGCACTTCACCTTTGTGTTCAAACCAGCTGATTCCTGGTTCTTTCTTCACATTCTTATCTTTCATTGATTTTCTCACCTCTGAGACATCGCTCCATCTCTTAGCTGAGGCATGAGCGTTTGCAAGCAGGACGTAACAAGCAGAGTCATTAGGGTCAATCTGAAGAATCTCTTTAAAGACTCTCTGTGCCATTTCTTCGTTTTTGTGTATCTTACACGCAGATAACAATGTTTTCCATATAACGGCGTCTGGCTTTATTGGCATAGACCTTATTTTCGCCTCAGCTTGATCCAAACTGCCTGCTCGACTGAGCAAGTCCACCACACAAGTGTAGTGCTTTAAACCGGGTTTGAACCCGTATTTTTCCACCATCATGTCAAACAACTCAAGCCCTTTGTCCTTTAAACCAGAATGGCTACACGCATAAATCAAATTTAGAAACGCGACCTCGTTTACCTCCAATTCGGTTTGCTCTGCCATAGTATTAAACAGCTTGATTGCCTCATCACCTTGTCCATGAAACCCATAAGCGGAAATCATTGAGCTCCACATCACTTCATCCTCATCTTCACGTTCAGAGAAAGCTTTAGCAGCATCTTCAAGACACCCACATTTTGAATACATGCTGATCAATGAACTAACCACAGCTACTACAGAACTAGCTCCGATCTTAATAGCTTCCGCATGAATCTGCTGACCTTGACCTCTTATCGCTAAATCAGAACAAGAACTGAGCACAGTTACAAAAGTGATCTTGTTCGGCCTACAACCTGAGATTTTCATCATCTTATACTGATAAAGCACGGTTTCAGGACATCCGTTTTGAGCATTCCCCGCAATAAGTGTATTCCAAGCAACCAAATTACGAACAGGCATTGATCTAATAACATTTTGGCCATCTTCCAATTCCCCATTTCTCATATACATATGAGCCACCGAACTATTAACTACTAAATCCAACTCAAGCCCATATTTGATCGTGTAGCCATGAATCTGCTTCCCTATAAACACCGAACGCAACCCTGCAGCTCCGCTAAAAACACTACCAAGAGTGTATTCATCAGGCGAAAATCCCAATCCATGCATTTCTTTAAACAAACTCAAACCCTCTTCGTTATACTCAAACTGAATCAATCCAGCGATCATGGCATTCCAAGTTGTAAGCTTTCTATCAGGCATTTCATCAAACACCTTCCGGGCACTTACCAAATCTCCAGCACGAACATATCCATTGATTAGTATATTAGATGACATGTAATTCTTCTTCGGCATAAACCCATATAACGCAACAGCCGAAGGAAAATCCCCAAGCTTGGAGTACATGCTCATGAGGTGGTTGCATATGAACTTGTCGGAGGAGAATCCGGAGACAACGAGGAGACAATGTAGCTGCTTTCCTGACCGAACAGATTTTCTGGTGGCGCATGATTGTATGAAAGGAGTGAAGAGAGAAGTGTTTGTGAAGATGTTGAGTCGGAATCTCTGGAAAGCTTCTCGGAGGTTCCCTTTTGAGCACAAACTAGCTATGGCGGTCGCAGGATCTGAGGATAATGATAGTGGACGAATAAAGGAGGATAATTTGTCCATGCATTTACGAGAGTTTTCTCTTGAATTTTGACTCGAAACCAAATTTGATTTTCAGAGAGCTCTCTCTCTCTCTATGTAGCGAAGAAGAAGAAGGAACGGAAAATTAAATCCGGTTGCAAAATTTGACTATCTATAGTCTATAGACGCTTAATTTGATTGGGCCGTGATTAAAAGCCCAATAAACTATTTGGAGACAGAGCCCAAAATGGAAATACACTCAAGAAAGCTATTTAAAAGCAAGTTAAAAACTGAAGTGCATACCACGAACCTCAAA